CCTTGCTGGAATTCTCTGTCCTCTTTATGTTCCCCATTTTAATCTCAGAGCTATTGGCACTTCTGGGGGAGACTCTAGATTCTGCTGGGCCAGCTTCACACCACAGTCAGCCATTCCTTCCCCTCAATCCTGCAGACAACTCGCTCTGGTCCCCCCACCCCCACCCCACGTGCAAAGAAACCACAATTCGGACTGCTTCCTTTCTCTTTATTCCCTACCAAGGTGTGTGGCCGCCCCGACAGAGACAACAATCGTGGGGGAAAGGGAACCAGCGCTACACCAACACCCCACCCCCACCCCAGTCTCTCCTGCGTAGCCCCTCGTTCAGGACTGGGTGTGGAGGCCACAGGGCCAGAGGAAAGGCACAGGGACAGGGTGTGCCCAACCTTCTCCATCAAGATCCAGACTCTCGGGATAAGCAGGTGAGCCCCAGCCCTGCGGGAGCGGACTTGGGTGTGACCCAGAGAAGTCTTCTTTCGTCAGAAGGGTTACCCCCAGTTTCCACCCTTCAGGAGGCTTTGGCTGTTTCAAAGAATGGTAGAATCTCAGTTGGAGGGGACTGGAAGGGTCATGTGTTTCGTTCTTTAGCAATGTGCTAACACCAGTCACATACTTGTTCTAGGTCATTCAGATGTCTAGTTAAAGGCAAGTACTGTTGTACGCAGTCCTTAAATGGGGAGAAAATGAGCCGGGCTCGGTGGCTCAGCCTGTAATCCCGTGCTTTGGGAGGCTGAGATGAGTGGATTGCTGAGCCCGCGGGTTCGAGACCCGCCTGGGCAACTTGGCGAGACCTCATCTCTACAATAAATCAAAAAATTAGCCGGGCGTGGTAGCGCGCGCCTGTAGTTCCGGCTACTCGGAAGGCTGAGGCGGAAGGATCGCCGGAGCCCAGCAGGTCGAGGCTGCGGTGGCGGGGAGCGGCCACTACACTCCAGTCTGGGCGACAGAGTGAGACTCCAACTCAAAAAAAGGGGGAGGGGGGATGTTGGCTAGCCATCTTCCTTCCTTTCTCCCTGCATCTTCCCAAAAACAGTTATGCGTAATTGACCACTCCCCTAAAGGAAGTCTAGACTTTACCATTCATGGCCAGTAGAGGTCACAAAGTGCTTAAATAGTCACGGAACCTTGAAGGAAACCCATCTTTGGGTATTAGCATTATGCAATAATAAGCAGACACATATGACTATGATTGGACAGAACTGTCACACTTTAATAAAGAAGAAGTATTACACCCAATAGGTTAGGGTAGGTAACTTGTTATAAGCAATATGCGTATCTCAGAGAATACAATTTTTAAAGGCGTTTCCAAATAAAGATAATTTTAGAGATGATTTAGGCCAAATCCTTCATTTTATGGATGAAGAAACTCATCTATGAGTTACTTAGAGACTTGTCAGGGTCACTCAGCTGTTATGAGCAAATACAAAATGACTACTCAAAATCTTTTGACTATGAGTCCAGATTTCTTCTGATACTGCATTTGTAGATTATGTTTTCCAGCTGTAACTTATCTTTTCTAAACTTAAATAATTGATACCACATGTATATTTATGCCAGGCTCTGTGCTAGGTGGTGGGGATCTATTGTTAAACAAAAATGGTCCTTGCTTGTGGGACTATGAGAAAATGTGAGTAGAATCACTAAGATAATGATAAGAAGCACCTCAGAGGTGATGTTAGGTTTCTCCCTGATTGATACTTTCTATGTATATGCAGCTAGTCTTGACTTCTGTTTAGTATTTTCAGTAATTTTGTGTTACCATCCTTTTTAGAGAAATTAAGTGCTGTGTATTAACAAGTCATCTAATTGACTACTTCTTCTTAGATAATTTACTGATGCTAAATGACCATAAGGTAGATATTAGGGCAAGAGAAACAAAAGGTGCATTGTTAGGAAAAACCCTTAAACTGTTTAATAGTCCCCAAAGAGACAAGGAAAGAGCAGAAATTCTTCATCTGTGAGATATGACAAATGGAAACCAACTAAAAATATATAGGAAATAAATATAAAAATTGAAATAAGCCTTTGGAAATAGGTATTTTAAAGTTTATTTTTGGTAGAGACAAGTCCTCACCATGTTGCTCAGGCTGGTCTTGAACTCCTAAGTCTCAAGCAATCCTCTTACCTTGGTCTCCCAAAGTGCTGGGATTACAGACATGAGCATAAATACATTTTAACACATTTTTCAAAGCAGAACTGACACTTATCTTAGCAGATCCAATGCCAATCTTATTTCCCTGTCCCCAGCCTTGCTAGCACACACACACACACACACACACACACACACACACACACACACACACGGACACACAGAGAATCTCTATGCAGGCAGTTAAAAGAAGGTTTTAATATATGAAATCAATGTGTGAATTTCCTCTGTTTCTCCAACTTACCATTGTTTTTCCAATTTTCCATGATTGGAGCAAAAGCCGGGGCAGAACGCTTCTATATAACACGCACGCGCGCGCACGCATACACGCACATACGCACACACACTTCTTTGGTTGCCTAATTTACTATTAAACAAAAGTCATCTTTGTTTAAAATAACTTTCCCATTTTCCAGTTATTCAATTATTATGTGTTGAATGGATAAAACTTCGAAAATAGTGAGGTAAACAACTACAACAAAAAGCCAAATCACCAATAGTTCTATCATGTAGCGATCACTACTAAAACACTCACATAGGTTGTGTTGTTGGCTTCATTTGCTTGACTATACATCACCGATGTCTTTTCATGCCAGCAAGTATTTATCATCAACATGGATTGTAGTAACTTTTTTTTTTTTTTTGAGTTGGAGTCTCACTCTGTCACCCACACTGGAGTGCAGTGGCCGCACCCGACCACCGCAGCCTCGACCCGCTGGGCTCCAGTGATCCTTCCACCTCAGCCTTCCGAGTAGCCGGAACTACAGGCGCACACTACCACACCCGGCTAATTTTTGTGATTTATTGTAGAGATGAGGTCTCGCCAAGTTGCCCGGGCGGGTCTCAAACCCGCGGGCTCAGGCAGTCCACCCACCTCGGCCTCCCAAAGCGCTGGGATTACAGGCTGAGCCACTGAGCCCAGTCAACTTTTTTTTTTTTGAGTTGGAGTCTCACTCTGTCGCTCAGGCTGGAGTACTGTGGCATGCTAATTGTTCATCTCCTATTTCTTCATGAAACCGGGTCTAACAATCCCTCAGGAATATCATGGTCACCCCAATGTCGACCTGCTGGGCTCTGACGATCCTTCTGTCTCTGCCTCCCAAGTAGCTGGAACTACAGGTTCACACTACTACGCCCCGCTAATTTTTTTATTTATTGTAGAGACGAGGTCGTGTCAAGTTGCCGGGGCTGGTCTCGAACCTGCAGGCTCAGGCAATCTACTCACCTCAGACTCCCAAAGTGCTGGGATTACAGGCTGAGCCACCGAGCCCAGCCTGTAGAAACTTTTAAGTATCCCATCATATAGATGCACCAGAATTTATCTGTCCATTGTCCTATTGTTGAATTTAGATTGTTTCTATTTTTTTCCCTATTATAAACACTTTATTCGCTGCTCCTGGGTTTTCCTATCGTGACAGTCTTGACCTTTTTCTGGGTAGAGTGATTTACCTAAAAGATGTGTTTGAAATGAGGACCTGGGCCTGTGTAGCCCACATCTCTTTCTCCTGGGAGCCAGACTTACCAGAGAGCAGGTACTTGCCCTGAGATTTCCAGATGGGAGGCTTGTGCCTGGGCAGTTCAGTCTAATTCTGGGGTTCAGGTTTAAGAAGGGTATTGTGACTGGACACCAAAGCTCTGTTCTCTAATGGTCACAGCCAACATTGTTTCTTGTGTATTTATGTGTTGTATATTTATGTATTATATTTATGATCCTCCCCTCCATGTAAAATTCAGAATTGGGGTTTCTTGGGGGTCAAAAACGATTCTATCTTAGGTCTTTTGATACAAATTTTCATATTCTTCTCTAGAAAGTCTGTACCAGTATTGACACCTACCGGCTGAGATTAGAGTTATGATTGTCTTTGAAAGCCTGCTTTTTTCTGATTTTCTTTAAAAGCTGTCATAGAAAATATATATTACATTATAATGTATTATATATTAAATTATACATTATACATCAAATATAGATTATATTTATATTGTACATTTATAAATTATATAAAACATATTTAAAATGTTGTTTTATCCAATACAAATATTGGAAACAGAAGGGGAAAGTTAATGCATAACATCATTTACCCAGTTCTGAACCATCGGGCGTCTCACATGATGAAATGCTTGATCATTTAAGCATGTATGTATATACACACATGTGCATGTTTACATTAGGTAATTGGAAAAGTAGTACTTGGTATAAAAATCTAGGAGATTTAAAAAATATTATTTCATTTGCAGAAATAGTGTGTTGTTTAATTAATTAATCAAGATCAGAATGAATATCAGCTGGACTCTCCCTTTCTTTCTTTCTTTTTTTTTTTCTTTTTTTCCAGTCAAGTTCTCACTCTGTTGCCCAGGCTGGAGTGCAGTGGCAGAATCATGGCTCACTTGTAGCCTCGACCCCTGTGCTCAGCAGAAGATCCACCCCCTCAGCCTCCTGAGTAGCTGAATAGCTGGGACTACAGGCACACACCACCACGCTTCACTAATTTTTAAATTATTTGTAGAAGGCAGGCAATGCCCTCAGGTCCCCTCCTGTTCTGGGAGATTTTCTGTCCTTTCAATAAATTCTGCTTTCTAAAAAAAACCCAAAAAACAAAAAACAATTATTTGAACTCTTGGACTCAAGCAATCCTGCCAGCTCCACCTCCCAAAGTGCTGGGATTACAGGTGCCAGCCACCATGCCTGGCCTCCCTTTTTTCTTCACCTTAGGTTTAAATGATGATTGGCAGTCATTGTATTGAGAAACTAGAAATTTTATTTTCATGGACTACTGATTTGCAAACTCTGCATCTTTATTCTGCATGGTAATTTTCTGTGTTTTTATAAGAAATATGATGGCTTTGAAGATATTCACTTTTTTGCACAGATATGAAATGAAGTGGAAAAAATTTTGCTCATCCTTTGGAGATTTCAAAAGAAGTTGAACTCATCTCCTCCTTAGTACTGTGTAAAATTGGCAGTGATGTGCTCATGGTTGAAGGGTATGTAGTCAGCAACCCCTGGAAATAATAAGCAGAAAATAACATGAGTTGACCATGGGGCATGTAACCACCTCTATCCCTCAAAGGATCAGTTCATTATTATTATTATTATTATTATTATTATTATTATTTTGAGTTGGAATCTCACTCTGTCGCCCAGGTTGGAGCCCAGGTTGAAGCCTCCACCTTCTGGGCTCTGGTGATCCTTCCTCCCCTGCCTTCCAAGTAGCTGGAACTACAGGTGCACGCTACCACACCCAGCTAATTTTTTGATTTATTTTAGAGATGAGGTCTCGCAAAGTTGCTCAGGCAGGTCTCTGACCTGCAGACTCAGGCAATCCACTCACCTCAGCCTCCCAAAACGTGGAATTACAGGCTGAGTCACTGAACCTGGCTATTTTTTTCTTTTTTTAAGTCAAAGTCTCACTGTGTCACCCAGGTTGGAGTGCAGTGGCACAATCGGAGCTCACCACAGCCTTGAATTCCTGCGCTCTGGCTCTTTCAGCCTCAAGATCCTTCAACCTCAACCTCCTGAGCAGCTGGGACTAGAGGTGCATACCACCATCACATCTGGCTAATTTGTTCTTTGACTTTTTTTGTAGAGATGAGGTCTTGCTATGTTGCCCAGGCTGGTCTTGAACTCCTGGGCTCAAGGGATCCTCCCGCTTTGGCCTCTCAAAGTGCTGGGATTACAGGAGTGAGTCATCATGCCCAGCGTCAGCTCATCAAATTTTTTTAAAAGAAAAAAAGTCTTCCTAGAGAAAAATGGGCAATTTAATTACTGTGAAAAGTACATGCAATTAAGAATTAGGGAGATCTTGTTTCCAGTCTCTGGATCGCCATCTTGTGGAATGTGTCTTTGAGTAAGCCCTTAAGATATAGGAATCTCTCCTCACATTTAAAATTTTATTGCCGGGAGTGGTGGCTGAAGCCTGTAATCCCAGCACTTTGGGAGGCTGAGGTGAGAGGATTGCCTGAGCCCAGGAGTTTGAGACCAACTTGGCCAACTTGGCGAGACCTCGTCTCTACAATAAATAAAAAAAATTAGATGGGCGTGGTGGCATATGCTTGTAGTTCCAGCTACTTGGAAGGCTGAGGCGGAAGGATCACCTGAGCCCAGCAAGTCGAGGCTGCAGTGGCAGTGAGCATGCCACTGCACTCCATCCTGGGTGACAGTGAGACTCCATCAAAACACAACACAACACACCATGCCACAAAACACTTTTGTTACTAATGTTTACTCTGAAGAGTTATTTCCAGAATTAGAAATAATGACTGCTGGGTGCCTAATACAGTACTTGGCACATAATTGTACAATAAATAGTGGTTATTACTAAAGGGGCTTATTTAGGCCAAAATTAGAACATTCAAGGGAGGACTTTATGTTCCTTTTTGAAGATTTTGTAAAACAAAAAGGGCAGTGAGTTGAGACTTCTTGTCTTTCAGGACAGAAAGATAAATTATGACAATTCCCATGATCTTTCAGGTAACCAGGCAACAGAAAAATGACCATCCCAGGCCCTAATCTTTTTGAATCTCAGAGGCCTTTCCCATTACTGCTTTTTCTCCCAGAGATGATAAGTCAGTGGAAGATATGAAAATAAGTCTGATTTAAGTTCCTTGGATTATTTCTTGGATGCAGGTGGTATAAAAACTAATAATGATGATGATGATTAGCACTTTTTAACCCATGCCATGTAAAATTCACTGAACTTAATCATTTGAAGTGCATTATTTCTCATTTCACAGTAACCCAAGAAATGGTTATGCTTTTTCCATTTGGTAGCTATGCAAATGTAGCTCAGAGAAGATTTATTACTTACCTAATGCAGCTAGAAAATAAGAGAAGGGCAAGTTCTGTGTGATTCCATGTTCTTTATTATATGCTTTAGGGAAATTCCACAAATTCTGATTGGTCAGATTTTGTGAAATACATGATAGACTCGAAGAAAAACATATCTCACATTGTCATATTGAATAGTGAGGTACCTTTACCAAGCCACGACCTTGACTCTCTCTGACTTTATTTGCCCTTACGTGTCTCTGCATGGTAACAATTAATATCAGGTTGACTAGGTCACATCATCATTGGACATGGTATACACCATTGCTTGTTAAGCAGGAGAATATTTTAATATGTGTGCAAAAACTTGAACAAATGATAAGATTTTTCTGAAGTCTGAGTTTTACCCTTCCCACTTTCTCCACACAAACATGCATACACAGACATTCTTATCTGGAGATTTTTAAAAAACCACTATGGCAAAAAAAGGTGAATGATAAATTTTGAGTCAAGTTTTTATAGAAAACATACTTATCCTACAGTTTGGAAACCTGGGTTTAATTATCTGCTCTCACATGCTAAATACATGTAATGTGCAAGTTTCATCAGTGTCTCTATGACTTCGTTTTCTTCTCTGTAAAAAGAAAGCCACTGACTGGATATGGTGGCTCACACCTATAATCCTAGAACTTTGGGAGACCCAGGCAGAAGAATCGCCTGATCCCAGGAGGTCAAGGCTGCAGTGAGCCCTGATCGTCCCGCTGCACTTCAGCCTGGGTGACAGAGTGAGAACCTGACTCAAAAAAAAAAAAAAAAAAAGCCACTAATACCTACAAAATTTATCTATCTAATTGTTTATATACACATTATATATATTCATACATACTATATATGCATCTATCTAATGTTTGTATATATACACATTATATATAGGTACATATATGTAATTACTGTCTATACAACTATTGTATACACACAATTACTTGTTGATTAGATAGATGAAATAATTAAGCAAAACAATTAAGGAATGTAGCCTTCAAGCTATGGAAGAAATGCCCATTCCTTTTCCTTGCTCACCTTCATTCAAAGGTGTTATGCCACTAAGGAACTGCCAGTATGTCTTGTGATTAATATTTTCAGCGATGTTGTTGATAGAAGAGATGACAAGACCCCAGGATGTCATTGTGGTTTCAAATCTAAGAAAAAAGTCATATATGATTAGCACCTCACTTTTGGTCAATAACAGGGTAAAATAAAGGGAGAGGGATATTTAAATGCTTTTAGTAGCAGATAAAATCAGTCTCAAAAGAGAAAATGGAAGTGGTTAGTGAATATAAAATTATTTTACTTGGAATTAAATGAAATTAAAATGAATGAATTTTTAAAACATTCATCAATAAGAAAAATGCCCATGTTCAACAATGATTGAATAATTATATAAACAATAGAATAAATATTGAAGATTAAATATTTGGAAGTTATGGAAATTGTGTTTTTTAATAATTTTGAGTAACATTGGAAAATACATATGCAGTAATGTTAAGTGAAAATGTGAGATTGGCAACCCCTCAGGTCCTCTCCCACTTTGGGAGCTTTTCTGTCCTCTCAATAAATCCTGCTTTTTCCAAAAAAGAAAGAAAATGTGAGATACATTTGGAGTGACGATGTTGTGCTTGTGAATATGAAAAAAAAAAAAAAGAAATGTGGGATACAAATTTTGCAAGAAGTATTTGGCCCAGGTATGTAATGGGTCACAATTAGTTGTCATATACATAGAAAAAAAATCTACAATACTATAAAAATATTAACTGCTTATGTTGTGGATGGACTGTGGATGATTTTTTTTCTTTATGCTTCTTCCCCCCTCAAAATTTCTGTCATATATGTCTAGTACATTTACATACAGTGGCTCATTCCTGTAATCCCAGCACTTTGGGAGGCCAAGACAAGAGGATAGCTTGAGCCCAGCAGTTCAAGACCAACCAGGCACCATAGCGAGATCTTGTCTCTACAAAAAATAGCAAAATTAGCCACTTGTGGTGGTGTATGCCTATAGTCCCAGCTACTCAGGAGGCTGAGGTGGAAGGATTGCCTGGGCCCAGAAGGTCAGGGCTGCAGTGAGCCATGATCCAGCCAGGACCATTCAGTGAGACTGGACTCAAAAAAAAAAAATGAAAGAAAAGATATAAAGTATTTGAAGTGCAGCTTTTATTCTGACCTGTCTTTGGCAGTTAGGGAAGTTATGGAGCTGTGCAGCTTGCAGCAGACACGATGTGATCAACAGAGCCCAATGGGAGAGGTCCCCATGTGGTATCACTCAGCGGTCAATTCCTTGCCTTTGGCCAGGACATCTCTCTGACATCTCTCTGCAGAACTTAGGTCATATCATCTTTTCTTTGAACGTATATCCTTTCTTCCCTTTCACGACTTGGCATCTACCCTCTTCCCCTTCTATAGCTTAGACGTCTCCACATCTCTTTACTGCTTTGCACTGTCTGCAAACTACAGACATTCCCAAAAGTTTAATTTTCTCCCCTGTGATTATTTTCTGTATACTGTCCTTCCCTGATAGGCACATGGAAAGAACGTGAGCATCGGAGTCAGTTCTGTCTGGCTTTCAGCTCCCAGGTCTACTGCATGTATGCGATCTCATGAACGTTACTTAGCTCCTTTGGGCCCAGGGTTCTATCTAAAATGGAAATAGTCAGATCAGGCTTATGGTCTTGCTGGGTGCATGTATCTGCCACCTACTACATAGGTTCCTCAGTTTTAGTCATCACCGCTGTCAGACAATTGTCCAGTCTCTTTTTGCCCGTTCTGACCTCTTTTCCTGAGACTTTCTCAATACCCACAAAGCTTTCTAATGTTTTATTTTCTAAAATTATTTTATTTTTTATTTTTAGAGCTGAGGTCTCACTCTGTTGCCCAGGTTAGAATGTAGTGGTATAGTTATGGCTCACTGTAGCCTCGATCTCCTGGACTCAAGTGATCCTTCCGCCTCAGTCTCTCAAGTAGTTGGGACTTCAGATGCATGCCACTATGCTTGGCTAATTTTCTTTTCTTTTTTTAAAGAGAAGAGATCTTATAGAGGCTAGTCTCGAATTCCCAGGCTCAAGCAATCTTCCTGCCTTGGCCTCCCAGACTGCTGGGATTATAGGCATGCACCACTGTGACAGGCTAATATTTCTATTTTGAACAAACACCATTAAACACGTCTGGGGAACTAAATCTCTTTTTCTGAAAGATAGTCTTTCTTGGATTGCCTGAGCCCGCGGGTTCGAGACCCGCCTGGGCAACTTAGCGAGATCTCATCTCTACAATAAATAAAAAATTAGCTGGGCATGGTAGCGCGCGCCTGTAGTTTCAGCTACTTGGAAGGCTAGGCAGAAGGATCGCCTGAGCCCAGCAGGTCGAGGCTGCAGTGGCCAGGAGCGGCTACTGCACTCCAGTCTGGGTGAGAGTGAGACTCCAAATCAAAAAAAAAGAAAACAAAGATAGTCTTTCTTCTTGACACTCCTTTCAGTGGTTCTGAAGCTTCTTTCTTTTGGTCTCCACATCCAGTCACTTGCAGTACCCTGTGGAGTGTTCCTTGATGTGCATTGATTTTTGCTTGATGAAACCCTCACACTTCACAGTTTCATTGATGCAGTCATGCCCTAGCTCTTAGCCTTGTCTCCCAGTCTCACCACCCGAGTAACACTTGACAGCATAGATTTTCTTACTCAAAAACTTGTCCAGGTGCAATGGCTCACATCTGTAATCTAGCAGTTTGGGAGACCAAGGCAGGAGGAATGAAATTAGCCTGGGCAACATAATAAGACATTTTCTCTACACAAAATTAAAAAATTAGCTGGGCATGGTGGTGCACACCTGCAGTCCCAGCTACTTGGGAGGCTGAGGTAGAAGGATCGCCTGAGCCCAGGAGGTTGAGGTTGCAGTGAGCTATGATCATGCCACTGCACTCCAGCCTGGGCACCAGAGTGAGATCCTGACTCAAAAAAAAAAAAAAAAGCTTTCAGTACCTCCCTACAAAATAGAGTCCAGTCTCCTTAGCCTGGTTATTTCAGGCTTTTTTTTTTGAGTTGGAGTCTCACTCTGTCACCCAGGCTGGAGTGTAGTGGCACTTGCTCGCAGCCACCACAGCCTTGACCTGCTGGGCTCAGGCAATCCTTCTGCCTCAGTCTTCCAAGTAGCTAAAAATACAAGCACACAGCACCATGCCCAGCTAATTTTTTGGGATTTATGATTTATTGTAGAGACAAGGTCTCACCAAGTTACCCAGGCTGGTCTCGAACCCCCAGGCTCAGGCAGTCCTCTCACCTTGGCCTCCCAAAGTACTGGGATTACAAGCTGAGCCACCACGCCTGGCCTATTTCAGGCCTTTTACATGATCACTAAACCTGCCCTTTCAGATGCCACTCAATTCAGTTGTGTAGTCTCACTAGCCTCTAGGCAACCTGGCCGACTCACTGACCTCATCTCATGCTTCTTGTTCACTCCTATGTCAAATGCTTTGTTCTAGCTATTTCTTCTTCCTAGAATGACACCTCCTCGCATCTTCCTAGGTAGCCCTTCTTCTCAGTGGTCCAAAGCCACAAAGTCTTCTTCTGACTATTCTAATCCACAATGAACTTTCTTTCCTCTAAATTCCTATTGTTAAAACTCCCTCATATAGTGGGACTGTAAACTAGTACAGCCTCTGTGGAAATCAGTGTGGTGATTCCTAAAAGCTCAAAAAATCGACCTTCCATATGACCCCGCAATTCCCCTACTGGGAATATACCCTGAAGAACTCAAGTCACTCTATAAAAAAAGATACCTGCACATGTATGTTTATCGCAGCATTGTTCACATAGCAAGATCATGGAACCAACCATGCTGTCCATCAAAAGAGAACTGGATTAAAAAAATGTGTTACATATACACAATGGAATATTACGCAGCCATAAAAAAGAACAAAATCATGAATTTCCCAGCAACCAGGATGGAATTAGAGTTTATAATACGAGTGATCTCTCACAGAAACAAAGATCTGAGTATCACATGTTCTCACTCATAAGTGACCTTGAACAACTACCGTAATACTATAAGAAAAGGAATGACAGTGGTGGGAAACTGTAGGGGGGCAGGGAGGGGAATGGAGGTGGGATTAATGACAATCAATATCTGTCTGGGGAAGCGGGGGGCTACCTCATCAACAAGGGTACCCGCACAATGCATATTTGTATACCTAATCCTTAACTGTACCCCACAATTTTAAAATAAAAAATGTATATAAAAAAAAAAAACTCCCTCATAGATTGCCTTGAATGATTTACTTTTTCATGGGTGCTTTGCCTACTTACTAGATTGCAAGCTCCTTCAAAGGACTGTGAAATAAAAATCTGTTACATTACAAGGAGATAATGAAGGAAGGGAAGAGAAAGGGAGTGGGAATTTGAGTGAAGCCAACAGAGAGGGAGGAATGCCATTTGTGGCACTCACTTGAACATGGGGTTTTTATGCTGTGCTTCTTCCAGGACAACAAGTAGCACCGATCCACTTTTCACGCTCACATCGATGGTCACATTGAAGAGGAGCTCTACGCCCCTCAGCTGGTTATTTATGGTGTATGTCACTGTGATGTTGGAAGTGGAGGTGGGGGTGGAGCTAGGATGGCTAGGTAGAGTGGGTGACACCTCGTGATCTGTGAAGAGCAAAGAGACCAAAGATTGTGGGGTTTGTATTATAGATGCAAAATCTTTGTTATTGGCAACTCGTCCCAGAAAACATTTCAAGGAGCTAGCAAGTTTTGTACCATTTAACGAAGTCCTTGGACAATTAATATAGGAGACTGGCAAGGACTCCATGTCCGCCTTGTTAAAGTTGAAAAATCACTAGGAAGCAGTCTAAGGAGTTAGGTGAATGTGGTCGTGTTTGGTAATGATTTGGATTAGTTGACTTGATTTGGGTTTCTGTAGATTCTACCTTGAGGAACTTAATCTCTTCTTGCCTTAGGAAGTCCATGCAATACAAGAAGAATAATACTTTATATTAGTGAGCTGGGTGTGGTGCTCATTCCTGTAATCTCAGCAATTTGGGAGGCCAAAATGGGAGGATTGCTTGAGCCCAGGAGTTCAAGAACAGCCTAGGCAACAAAAGCAAGACCTTGTATCTAAAAAGAAGAAGAAAATAGCAGTGCATGGTGGCATGTGCCTGTAGTCTCAGCTAGTTGGGAGGCTGTGGTGGAAGGATCACCTGAGCCCAGGAGGTCAAGGCTGCGGTGAGCTGTGGTCATGCCACTATCCTCCAGCCTTAGCCACAGAATGAAACCCTGACTCAACACACACACACACTTTATATTAGTATTTGATTAGAAAGAAGAGTTGGAGGAATTCATACCAAACACCAGTTATTTGGGGGGTGGTAAAATTTTTATATAGGACCCCCAATTTCTAAATGTATATTTCTTTAATGTTTGAATTTTAAGTATTTGAATTTTATTTGTAATTGGATATAATAAAGATATTTTGAATTAAAAGTAATATGCCAGGTTTCCACCTCATCCTGTTTGTTTGCTGTGTAAATCAAGCTTTCCAAGTTGGATCCTTAAGGCTCAACTTAAATGTGAAATCTATTCTTCTCCTAAACCTCCTAGACAAAATCAACAATTGGTCACCACTTTTCTTTTTTGCATTTGCTCTGTATGTAGTTTTAATTTCTATTGAACGCCTATTTCATTCTTCCAACTATTGTAGTTTTTGTTTACATTTCTGTCTCCTGACTTTGTAAAGAGCTGATGTGAGAAGATGTGCATCAGGTTTGGTGGGACATTTGTCAAATGAATGAATGAATGAAGCTATATGTTATTTGGCTGTTGGGATGATGGACCTTCCCCCTCCCCTAGCATCCCACAAAATGCTCTGCCCATAGCAGGCTGGACATACGGCTGAATTCTGAAGGTAGGATGGTATGGCTGTGTGCTAGCACATGCCCTTGGGAATTGGAAGTCAGACATAGTGGTGCCCACTTGGAAATAATGGATATAACAAGCCTACATGCCACTTAACAATGATCCAAATATCATTGGTGGCATAAATCGCCACTTCATAACATAAGGAGAGGTAGACGTTAAAAGAGTTCTTGGCCAGGCATACTGGCTCATGCCTGTAACTCCAGTGCTTTGGGGGGCTGAGGTGGGGAGATTGCTTGAGGCCAGGAGTTTGAGACCAGCCTGGGCAACATTGTGAGATCCTGTCTCTATAAATAAATAACTAAATTTAGCTGGGTGTGGTGGCGTGTGCCTGTAGTCCTATTTACTTGGGAAGCAAGGTGGGAGGATCCCTTGAACCCACAAGTTGGAGGCTGCAATGATCAAGAGATCCCATCTCTTTAAAAAAAAAAAAAAGTTCTTACCAGGACTACAAGTCACCAGGGGCACATCTAGGTATGTCTTGTCCTTCAAGGAAGGGAGGATTTGGGCAATGGACATCGGGTTGTGGAATGCCCCCCGTTTAATCTCATCAAGTATTGTGTCCATGGTCTTTTTGCAGTTCCACTCCTTGTTAGGTTGCTCAGGTGTTGCAGAGAGAGCCTGGGAGAGGAGGGGGGAGAGAGAGAGAAAGGAATTAAGCATAGCTAAGAGTTGACCCTTGTATACCTTATACAGAGATAGACTTGATCACTTATCATTGTGATCCTCAGTCACTCAGAATCCAAATGCAAACCTACTCAAGGTTTGGAACTACATTTGTCCTCTTCAAGTTTATGTCCCCACAGTGTCCTTCCACAGCAGCTATAGAACAGATATCCACACAATGATCAGATCCAGGAATCACTATTAGGCTACCATATTTACCAACAATTCTTGGATATAGAGTGAGGGTGAGAGCTGGGCAAAGCAAACTCCAGAGGGAACCTTAGTGTAGGACAACCCAGCCACATTAACAGAGTAGACCCTTTGTTTTGCATGGTCACACACTGTGAGAAACGAACTTACCCGTCCAAAATCAAAAGATGGACGCAGAGACGTGGAGTGCAGTAGAAGTGAGACTTTAATGACGGTCTTGCAAGACTGGGTGTCTGGTGGGCAGGCACACCCAATGTGGTTAAAACAAGCTTTTTATTTCCTAGTGTGCCAATCCTTTCCCTGGTTCCTCATTGACTGAGTAATACAGAGGTTATAATTTTTTCCTGGACATTGGCAGACAGTTTGGTGTCCAAATAAGGTGAAAATAAGTACTTCCTGCTATCTGATTGGAGTGTTTCAGCTTTCTTATTTTTAAGTAAGTTTTATTTCCTCAAGATGTGACTATTACTATACTTCCCTTTGTTTTGTCTTTTGGTGTCAGCAGTGAGTTATTCATTGTCCTTCAGTGATGTGACTGTTACCAGCCTCCCTCTGTTTTGTCTTTTGGTCACATCAGCAAATCTTACACCATTTTCTGGAAATGAATCATTTATTGTCCTTCACCTGCACCCCCTTTGGTAAACTGACTTCTCCCTCACCCTGTTAGGACCGCCTGTCAGAGGTACCACCATTTTGGCAGGATGGACAAGATGACAGTCCACTATCCCCTTGGTGACAGTGATTGGTGGACACACACTAATCAGAATCCTTCCCTGACATATAGACATTAGGAGAGAGACAGTCCACCCCCACCCACTGTGGTTATTCAATTGGGTCCGTGCCCAAGTGACCCTCTTCCTTAGCCGCTTTGAAGAAACCCTGCAACAGGAGAGGATGAGAATAACCAAGGCTGAGAGATGAGAAAAGAGTGGCCCCTGATATCATGATTTGAGCCCTTTATTTGGGTTATTCCCGAAACCACCTAATTTAGACCAGCAGTTCCCAGTGTATGGGAAATAGTAAATTCCCTCCCCCTTTTTTTTCTTGAGCAAAAATGATCTGGGTTTCTGTTACTTGAAAAATGAGTCTCGATTAATACATCAAGCAATTCACTTCACTTTGCTGAGTTTTCTATCTCACGGACTAGACAGAAATCGTAATTTCTGCCTATCTTTGTAGGGGGCCATTTGAGGTTCCAGTGGGCTAATATGTAAAAAGCATTTTATAATGCATGAGGTGGAAGCTATCACCACTACCTTCCTTCCTGCAGAGTTGTGCTGATTATGGCCATCAGAGCATGTTAATTGACTAGGATAGCTGATGACTGATTCACCTGAAGCCTGAGAAGGGAAAGGGAAGAGGGGAGTCAGAAATGGCTCTCTCAGCCAGGGGCAATCAGACAGTCGTAACAGACATGACCATCACTGCTAACCCAGACAACCGTGAACCAACCATGGCTCTGATCAGAGGTCACTTTACAAGGCAGTTTGGTTTGAGGAGCATCAGGTAGGTACTCTTTAGCAATAATATCTGACTGGATGCAGTAGCTCATGCCTGTAATTCCAGCACTTTGGGAGGCTGAGGTGGGAGGATTGCTTAAGCCCAGAAGTTTGAGACCAGCCTGGTCAACATAGCGAGACCTCATCTCTACAAAAACTCAAAAAATTAGCCAGGAATGGTGGTGTACACCTGTAGTTCCAGCTACTCAGAAGACTAAGTGGGAGGATAGCATGAGCCCAGGAAGTTAAGGCTGCAGTGAGCCATGATCTCGTCCCTGCACTCCAGCCTGAGTGAGACTCAACTCAAAACAAAACAACAACAACGACAAAACCAACAATATGCATATCTATGTCCACTTGTCATCGTCACCTTCCAATTTCCACTAAGGAAGATGTATCCCTTGGGATAAAACATTACCAATGACATCTCTCAAAAGAGGAATAGGACATTAAGCTGTTAGAAGTCATTAATAACTTTGCATGAAGTTGATCGGATCTCTTTTTAAGGTGAAGTTCCTTCCAAAGGAATCACAAAAGCAGTCAAATATCGACGGAAGAAAGAGGAGAATTTCTGGACCAGAAGAAATGCCTAATGTGAGTGCCTTTGGGAAGGGATAATAGTGGCCTGAGCCACTTGAAAGGCGCTGACATCTTGGAAGAAGATGAGTAAAGACTGGAAAAAAGAGGTTTTATAGCACTATTATTCTTTGGGGAGAGACCATGAATGATTTTTTTTTTTTGAGTTGGAGTCTCACTCTGTCGCCCAGACGAGTGTAGTGGCACGCTCCCGGCCACCGCAACCTCGACCTGTTGGGCTCCGGCGATCCTTCCTCCTCAGCCTTTCAAGTAGCTGAAACTACAGGCACGTGCTATCACACCCGACTAATTTTTTATTTATTGTAGAGATGAGGTCTCGCCAAGTTGCCCAGGTGGGTCTTCAACCAGCAGGCTCAAGCAATCCACTTGTCTTGGCCTCCCAAAGTGCTGGGAGAACAGGCTGAGCCACTGAGCCTGGCTGAAAGATTGTTAAACATGACATCGTGTCTGTGATTTTCTTTTTTTTTAATACCATATTTTATTTAACCTAGTTGTAAACTTGGCTTTGCAGGGGAAAAGAAATTCAATATTTGTTCCAGATGGTGGCAGGTCTGAGATTGAAACCCAAGTTTTTATCACTCCGGAGTCCTTTCATTTTTCTGTACCAGAACATTTTAGATTAGAAAAAGGTTATATATTAGGTACCTAGTGATTTCAGATTTCAGGCTGCCTGGGTAAATTCCAGATGAGGCAGAGGAGAGCGTAGAGGGGTTAAGTGTCCTGAGAGAAATCGTTGTGGTTTTTGGTATCTGGATTTGGAGGAAGTCCTGCCTTTTGATAGGAAAAACTTTAATTCCTGGGAACAGCTTATCAGAGTGTACCTAGCAGGTGGTAAAACCCCAAACAGAATTCAGAAACCTAATTAACAAAAGTAAACACTTCTCTGTCTGGTGCTAAGTTGAAGCAAGGTTAAGTGAGTCAAACACACACAAAACCCATGACCAAACAAAACCTTCAAAACATCTCTCTTCCACACTGCCTTCTCTCTTGCACAAAGCTTTCTAGACCCAAACCTTGGGAATGGTCTTGTATAACTCAGCCATGGGAAACACCAGGATTTTTTATGACAAAATCTTGACTGTGACATAGAAACTGACGTTTTTATTAGTCACTTTTATGTGTGGATCACTGGAGTGATAATCTTGCTTTTACTCTGTTTAACATGAACAAACTCTTAGGTTATTTATGCCCTTTTCAAAGTTTTGCTGTATGGAATACCAATACCAATGTCATTTTTCCCCAAGGAGACAATTTCTTTCTAATAGTAATCCAGAGCTCTATGAGGTTTAGGACTTGTATCAAAACTCCCTAATTCTCTCTCTCTGGGCTGAGATGGGAGTTCATGGTGCCATTTTCCCATTAATCCCATAGAATGTTTTAAGACTCTGGAGCACAGACTTCTAGGTTTGGACAAGAGGATTTGGCCATAGATGGCTATTTATTTATTTAGAGTCAGGGTTTCACTATGTCACCCAGGCTGGAATGCAGTGGCATAATTATGGCTCATCACAGCCTTGGCCTCCTGGACTCAAGTCATCCTTCAGCTTCAGCTTCCTGAGTAGCTGGGACTACAGGAATGTACCACCACACCTGGCTAATCTTTTAATTTTATTTAATTTTATTATGTTTTGTAGAGATGAGGTCTCACTATATTGCCAAAGCTGGTCTTGAACCCCTGGGCTCAAGTAGTCCTCCTGCCTTGACCTCTCAAAGTGCTGGTATTACAAGGTGTGAGCCACTGTGCCCAGCCAGACAGATGGCTTTTTAACATTTTATTCTAGCAGGTTATTTCTGCCCTTTCTCATTGATGCATCTGCCTTCCACAGAGGATGCTGCTCTGATCAGCTGGGGTAAGGGCAGGGTGCTGGGTTTTGAACTAACAAGCAACATTTTACAGAATCCAAGCCTGGAACTGAGTGAATGCTAGGGGAACATAGAATTGAGTATGGACTTGGTTACCAGACAGACCTAGCTCTACAATTAACCAGGGGTTTTTGTGAAGCTGAGTCAACTTTACATTATTTTCAAAAATCATTTTGAATTATAAACTTGCCTTTTTTGGGATCAAGGTAAAGAGTTAAAAAAAGAACACTTGAATGATCATAAAATTCAATATTTTTTGAAGACCTTTACTATCCTTATTACTTATACATCAAAATTGCAATAGTCTATAACTATGGATATTAAATGGATCATTATTATTGTTTTTTGTTTTTTTTTTTGAGTTGGAGTCTCACTCTGTCGCCCAGACTGGAGTGCAATGGCATGCTCCCAGCCACCGCAGCCTCTATCTGCTGGGCTCCGGTGATCCTTCCACCTCAACCTTCCAAGTAGCTGGAACTACAGGCGCGCACTACCACGCCCGGCTATTTTTTTTTTTATTGTAGAGACAAGGTCTCAGCAAGTTGCCCGGGTGGGTCTCAAACCCGCGGGCTCAGGCAATCCACTGACCTCGGCCTCCCAAAGTGCTGGGATTACAGGTTGAGCTACCGAGCCCAGCCATGGATCATTATTAATAATAAACCAATACATTCTTGATTTATTTGTTTCGTTTTTTTCCCAAGGAAGGGAAACAATTCACGCAGATTTGTTTCCACACTTTAACCTATGACATAGGAAGGAATGAAATTAACTGACTTTTACCAGCAGAGGAATTGAGGCACAGATACCACAAGGAATATATAGAAACTCCCCAACATGTGAACAAGTTCAGTTCTGAGAGTGTATTCATAAGTTAATTTGTTGTAAGTCCAACAAAGTTAGCCTAGGTACCCAACTAATGCACTTGGCTATATAGTACTGTATATATTTAGCAGGCTATATTGACATCTGGTGAAGAAAAATAATACATACAAATCACGTATTATTTGGTCCATACCTGTTTATTGTTAAAGTTCGCAACTTGAAGATTCGTATGTAGGGGGCTTACTGTACCTCACATCACACTAGCTGACCTTTTGCAGCAATGTTAGCAAAAGCCTGGCTTCTTAAACCTATAATCCAGTCTTACTGGCACAGACCCAACTGAGAGCATCCAAGATGTGTTTACCTGCATGGCGAGACCAGTACTGTAGATGTCTCCAATGATGCCATTGTCTTTGATCCTCATGCTGATATTTTCCACAATATCCTTTAATACCTGGCCAAACAGGGCTCTGTAAGCTTCCTCTGAACCTACGGGGATCTTGTTGTACATACAGGTCAAAGCCAAGGTTGCCATTGCTCCTGTGTCTGTGAATTGCAGGGGAGATGAGACCACCATGATCACCATCAACAATGATGTGAACTGCTAATGTTCATTGTGTACTTTTTGTATTCCGGTTATGTGATCTCACTTGCTCCTCAGGGCAATTTGTGAAATGGGACCTGAAAGCATTCCCATTTAAGAGATGAGGAAGTAGAGGCTCAAAGTAGTTAAGTAACTGCCCAAGGCCACACAGACAATAAGTAGCAGTGTCAAGCCCCGAACCCAGAACCCAGAACCCAAATCACTACAACTCAACAGCTCATGCTTTTAATTAATGCAAGCTGGCGGTATGTTCAATCCCACTTCTTATTGTAGCGCTTATTTTTCAAAATGTCACCAGTTCTTAAAGGTCTAGCCCGCCTCTCAGGAGGCCTACTTAGTCATTCCTGCACAACAGATGCAGTCTCTTTTCTTTCTTTTTTTTAAGTTTAACAGATGAGATCTTACTATGTTGCCCAGGCTGGTCTTGAACTCCTGAGCTCAAGCAATCCTTGAGTCTTGACCTCCCAAAGTGCTGGGGTTACAGGTGTGAGCCACCATGGATGGCTTACAATCTCTTTTGTAAACTCCTTTGGCATTTTTTTGTTTATACCTGCTTTGCCCTCTTGGCATTCTATGCTGTGTTGTGTTGTCACTGTGCTCTGTGAATGCTTGGATGATGGGAACTTTGCATCCCCCACAGCCCCTGACAGGGGATTTTTTCATTATTTGCATGCGATAAACAGGTATGGACTAAATGAACAAGCTCTGGGATGACAGATGGCAACTTTTATTTCATTGATCTTCTCTCCACCCTAATCTCTACCTGGAAGTTGCATAACTTCATTAAGGGTGTCAGTGTTATTGGAATCCAGAGCACAGAAGTCCCTACTTCCTGAACTGGCAGAGACACCCCAGCAATGTGTGAGGGCCCAGATGGAAAAAGGATTCCCTGGGTCTGTTCTTAACTCCCTGGGAGGGTGCTAGAATAAATGTTTACCTGCTTGTTCATCTGACAGAAACTGAAATGAGGGTGGTCAATGAGGCATGTATGGGGAGGGAGTGGAACACCTGAGCTCATGCTACTGCTTAGAGAGTGGCAGAGGAGAAAAGGTGACCATGAATGTAGGCTGTGTCCCCAGAGAGAGGGATCATTGTACACAGAAGGGCAAACAAGGTGTTGCAGAGGAAAAGCTTCCTAAGCCTGTAATCCCAGCACTTTGGAAGGCCAAGGCGAGAGGATTGCCTGAGCTCAGGGGTTTGAGATCAGCCCCAGCAACTTGGTGAGACCTCGTCTCTACAATGCATCAAAAAATAAACTGAGCATGGTAGTGCGTGCCTGTAGCTCCAGCTACTCAGAAGGTTGAAGCAGAAGGATCACCGGAGCCCGGCAGGTTGAGGCTGCGGTGACTGTGAGTGCCACTGCACTCTAGCCTGGGCTACAGAGTGAGACCCTGACTCAAAACATAAAAATAAAAAATAAAAAGCTTCCATTCACAGGCAGCCAAATGCTTCCCAAATAAAGAAACAAGGCTGTCCCGAGGAAGGAACATCATGGGATTAGGGTCCCATGGGATTAGGGTCCCAAGAGTATCTGGTCAGTAGAAAGAGAATATTTGGATGCCATAAGGCGAAACTATGAAAAGAATGGAGCGTGGAAGCATCAGCAGTGGTTGAAGAGAGGATTCAGGGTAGAAATGAGGCAGGATAGGAATATTTAGTTTAGGAATAGCTTCTGACTTGGAAGACATGTTTTCAGTTCCCAGTGGTGGCTCTGTAGCTATCAGACATTTCAGATCCGGTCCTTGTTTCTACCTGTTACTTTCCCCCCTTCCTCCACGTGTCCCCCAGTTCACACATTCAACAAACATCTGGTATCTTCCATCTACAGGCTTGTTGGTGGACCTCAGCTCGTTTTTCACGTAAAACCATCCTCTCCCAACTCCCTCCCCTATTCCATGTGCTGCATTTCTGAGTCCCAGCTTGAGGTCAGTGGGGACCTACTCACCCACGTTGAAGGGAGAGGAATTGACCAGCAGAGTCTTGGCAAAGCGAACAGCTATGGGTAACGTTGCCTCGGAGTTCTTCTGGCACAGCGCCAAGATTGCCAGACTGGGCCCGTAGAAGGCAGATGCTTCGGCATTGGGGCCTTGGAAGGGGACAGAGAACCCTTGTTAGACTTACATTCACCATTATGAGGACGTTGGTGAAGGTGGAAGAGCCACTCTCTTTGAGATGCTTATTAGGACATCACAATGGAACTGTCAAGCAGACAATTAGACTTGAAAGTTGAAATCAGAAGTTTCAGTTACACAGATGAATATATTCTAGAGACCTGCGGTATGTTGTTGTACCTGTAGTTAGCAATATTCTACTGTACACTTAAAAATATGTCAAGGGGGTAAGTTTCACTGAAAGGAGGTACCCATAGAAACCTAGAATAAACTTAGTTTATTCTTTTTAGTCTTTTTGCCTCAGCATAACCATTTTTGCTTAGACTTTACCCCTGACACACTTCGAATCTAGCACAGGTTAGACATAGATACATTTCCAATAGGCAGGTTTTAGAGTTTAGACATTCTACTGCAGGCCAGGCGGCAGCCTACCCCACCACTTTGGCAAATCTCCATCAGATGCTAGACAAAGACGGAGCCATAGAGATGATAATAGACCACCTTTTGGTCAAGGAGTTTGTGGATTGCAAATGCCTGACAAAGTTTCTTGCGGGAAAACCCCCTCTCCCGGTCTCCTCCCATCTAGCCCACCACCTGAGGGCACGAGACACTGATGTCTGCAACTTCAAGATCTAAGACTTAAGTTACTAATCCACCCATCTGCCTGCTGTTCATCACCTGACATCGGAATCGCGCTGACCTGCCCCTTCGTGATGATGCGGAGCAGACCACCACCCAATCACCTTAATGGCCTTCACCCATCAAAGGGAGAAGATTAAAACCATTCAACCTCAAACAGTCACTGCCGTGGCCATTGCCTGGCTAGACTGTAGTGTGGACACATGTAGTATGGCTGTTGCCATGTTTCTTGGCTTTGGCCCCTCCCCTACCTTGGGGAGGTGAATCTCCTCTTTTTCTCTCTCTCTCCCTTTCTAATTTACTTTCTAAATAAACTATATTTTCTAATCTAATTTCTGTGCAGTTTTTTGCATCTTTCATGTGGCATCAGATGGCACACCAGACACCTCACACCTCCAGCGGGCCTGACCGAACATTCGGGAGGCCCTGCTGGGTGAGTGTGACCCTAACAATGTTCAGTGTTCTTAACACAATACAATAAAAGTGTCTTAATAAATAAAATAACAAATAAAAAAGAAGGAAAAGTCAGCCGGGTTCGGTGGCTCAGCCTGTAATCCCGCGCCTTTGGGAGGCTGAGGTGAGTGGATTGCCTGAGTCCGCGGGTTTGAGACCCGCTTGGGCAGCGAGACCTCATCTCTACAATAAATCAAAAAATCAGCTGGGCGTGGTAGCACGTGCCTGTAGTTCCGGTTACTTGGAAGGCTGAGGCGGAAGTATCGCCGGAGCCCAGCAAGGCGAGGCTGCGGTGGTTGGGAGCGGCCATTGCACTCCAGTCTGGGCGACAGAGTGAGACTCCAACTCAAAAAAAAAGGAAAAGTCAAATCTTTCTTTCTTTCTTTCTTTCTTTCTTTCTTTCTTTCTTTCTGTCTGTCTGTCTGTCTGTCTTTCTTTCTTTCTTTCTTTCTTTCTTTCTTTCTTTCTTTCTTTTCCTAACCCACCTCAACTTCTGACTTTGAGACCAGGAACCTGCATTTTATTTATTTGTTTATTTGAGTTTATTTATTTGTTTGAGTCGGGGTCTCACTTTATTACCCAGTGACACAATCATGGCTCATCACAGCCTCAACCTCCTAGACTCAGGTAATCCTTCTGCCTCAGCCTTCTGAGTAGCTGGACTACAGGCATGAATCACCATGCTTGGTTATTTTCTAACTTTTTTTTTTTTTTTTTGTAGAGATGAGGTCTTGATATGTTTCACAGGCTAGTCTTGAACTTCTGGGCTCAAGTGATCCTCCCTCGGCTTCCCAGGGTGGTGAGATTACGAGTATGAGCCACCTTGTCCAGCCTGCCAAATCTTTTAAATGGAAATTTCTAGAAGACCTGCCTCTAAAGAAAGACACAGTATTGGTAAAGGGTCCCTTCAGTGCTTTTCTCAGAATAAAAATGTGTCATCTGGCATTTGAATGGAATAAAAGGGATGATGGTGTCTTTAGACAGGTAATTTGAATAGAATAAAAGGGATGACCCTGCCTTTAGGCAGGTGATGGCCTGGCAAGCCTGTATCCCTGGGGTAGTGGTGTTTTGTGTTTTCTCCTTTATTTTGAATTGCAAGCGAATCTCTCCACTTGTGGGATGATCAGAGGCACCAGAGTGAAGGATACCTTGTGTCTCTTCCCTAACTTTCCACTCTTCCCACCCCTCTCCTTGACTTTTCCAGGTTTAAAATTCCCAGGAAGGACCACGTGCCTCACTGGCCCCTCCCAACCAATGAGGTCTTACTGGAAGGTGCCCAGTTCTCCATCTGTCGTTGAAGAATTGATACTTTATTCCCGGGGTCTCTGCAGGAGGAAGTGAGGGCCATAATGGTGAGGGCGAGCTGACCAGTAGTTAGCTCTACAGAGGAGAGAACAGAACAGTTAGGGAGACATCCTTAGATGAAAGGTCACCAGGAGCTAGCACAGGGCTCTCTACTTCTTATCCACATTGTTTTGACTTTTTAATAATGTGAGTCATTTTTTGATCTGTCTTACCAAACGAAAAAAAATATAGAAAATACTTAAGGGAATGTTCAATCTAATGTCCTTTGTGACATTGAATAACTCCATTAAGAACACTGGTATGTGGTTGGAAAAGCAACAAGAACACTCATTATGTATAGAAACTTGCAGTCAAAAAAATAATTTAGGGTCTCACTGTGTCACCCAGTCTGGAGTGCAGTGGCACGATCACGGTTCACTGCAGCCTCAACCACCTGGGCTCAGGCAATCCTTCCACCTCAGCCTCCCAGGTATTTGGGACTACAGGCGTGCGCCAACACACCTGGCTAATTTGTTTATTTTTATTTTTTTGTAGGGACGAGCTCTTGCTTTATTGTCTGGGCTGGTCTCGAACTCCTGGGCTCAAGCAATCTTTCCACCTCAGCCTCCCAAAGTTCTGGGAGTAGAGGTGTGAGCGACCTCTCCCGGCCACAAAATAATTTCAACTTTACTATGTGTTTATTAGAGCCTGAAGGCAATTCCTGAGAGGTAAGCAGAAAGATATTTTATTGACCGGGCTAGGTGACTCAGCCTGTCATCCCAGCACTTTGGGAGGCCTAGCCGAGTGGATTGCCAGAGCCCGTGGGTTCGAGACCAACCGGGACAATTTGGCGAGACCTGGTCTCTACAATACATCAAAAATTAGCCGGAGGTGGTAGCGCTTGCCTGTAGTTCCGGCTACTTGGAAGGCTGAGGTGGAAGGGATTGCCAGAGCCCAGCAGGTCAATGCTGGGTTGGCCGTGAGTGTGCCACTGCACTCCAGCCTGGGCGACAGAGTGAGACTCCAACTAAAAAAAAAAAGATATTTTATTATGATCGTCACTGTTAATTAGTAGTAGAAGTATTACTGTAACTAGAATCAGCTGGAAGGTGAGGTTGACAGGATCAAGTGACTTGCTTGAAGTCACAGAGTTATGTGTCAGAACCAGGACTGGAAGCCCATTCTTTTGACATGTAGTCTAGAGCTGTCCCTGATACACTGGCCTCCTCCACAAATGCCCTGACTTCACATATTTGTTTCCAGGTATTTGACAGGTATAGAGGGAAAGGTGTTTGGGTAGTTAAGGTACAATCAGAGGCAGCACTGGGGTGGGAATGGGGACCCAGTTGGGATCTGGGGGTGGTGGGCTCAGATGTCTCACCAGCGGTGTCGCCAGACATGAGCTGGTGAGTCAGGAGCTTCCGGGCCTCCAAGTTGTAGGTTCCAGCCAGGTTCATGGCAATCAGTATGCTGGGGTTTGGGAAGGCGGATGAGGTCACCGAATTTTCCATGAGCACTTGTAGGTCATTGACCAAGGGCTGCTGCGCTAAGGGGACAGCTGAGAAGAAAAAAGTCATTGACTAATCCTCTCACCCTCATTCTCTCTCCTCAGAAACACGATTCCTGTGTCTTTTATGAGGGGGGCTCCCCCAAAAATTGGAATTACTTTTTGGAGGGCAGGCCCCTTGCTGTACAGGCTTTGCCCACTGGGTTAGTGTTTTGGGAACCCACTGGCCTCAGTGCACCAGCTAGTGTTGCTGTGAGAGGCTGCGTTTGGCTTCAGTTAATTTTTTTTGGAGATTCTCTCAGCGGGCTTGCCTATTTCACAATGGGTCATTCACAAGCGCACCTGCCCACATCATGCAGTTTTTGACCCAAAAAGGCAAGACCCCCCTGCCCCATCCTCCCTATTCACCAGATCTTACTCTGAGCAATGTTTTTTTTGTTTCCCCAGATAAACAAAGTTCTCCAAGGGAAGGGTTTTGCCCATGTGGAAGAGGTGAAACAAAAAAACAGTAGAAGCACTCAAAGGTATCAAAACTGAAGAGTTTGAAAACTGTTTTGAGCTGTAGAAAAAGCATCTCAATAGATATATTGCATCAAGTGGATATTACTTTGAAGGTGACTGAAATTTAAACATGTAAGAATACATAAACAATTTTTTATAAATAAATTCTGTGTTTTCTGGGTCTCCCCAATATGCCTTTTGAGAGAAGACTCAATTAGCATTGCTATTCTAAGTGACTAAAAGAGAAGTGGAAAAAACATTAAGATTTTTCTTTTGAGGCCAATTAGTCCCTACATTGCAAATAAACCTTCACCTTAAGGAAAGTAATTTTTTTTTTTTTTTTGTAACTTCAAACTATATGACTCACAGGCATGCCACATGATTTCTAGCACTTTCCAAGAAATCAGTGATTTCTTGGCATCCATTTTTTTCTCACTCTTTTGTGAAGAATATTAAAGGTTTAGGATATGAACCATCCTCAGTGAGTACCAAAACCTCACACTAGTATGTGGTGCCTGGTCACAGTGTTTCTTGGTACTGTCAACATTATTCCTGAAATAGTACTTCAGTCTCTCTTGGTTAAAAAATACATAGTCTTGGCTGGGCATGGCAGTTCAGCCTGCAATCCCAGCATTTTGGGAGGGCGAGGCGAATGGATTGCCTGAGCCCGCGGGTTCGAGACCAGCTTGGGCAACTTTGTGAGACCTCGTCTCCACAATAAACCAAAAAATTAGCCAGTTGTGGTAGCGTATGTCTGTAGTTCTGGCTACTTGGAAGACTGAGACGGAAGGATCGCCAGAGCCCAGCAGGTCGACGCTGGGATGACAGTGAGTGTGCCACTGCACTCCAGCCTGGGCGACGGAGTGAGACTCCAACTCCAAAAAAACCCCAAAAACAAAAATGCATAGTCTTGACTCTGTAAGAAACTAATGCTAATAAGTCAGGAAAAATGAGCAACACACAATCACATCCTGACTAACACATTTTAGAATTTCTTGGTACTGTCAACATTATTCCTGAAACATGGATCGCTGTTTTCAACCACTTTCTCATCAACAGACCTCAGTTTCTGGGGTCTCTGCCTCTCCCTGGAGTAACTGCTTCCCTGACCTCCTTTAAAAAAAAAAATCATAATGGCTGGGCATGGTGGCTCAACCTGTTGTCCCAGCACTTTGGGAGGCCGAGGCGAATGGATTACCTGAATCCACGGATTCGAGACCAGCCCAGGCAACTTGGCAAGACCTCGTCTCTACAATAAATCAAAAAAGTAGCCGAATGTGGTAGCGTGTGCCTGCATTTCTGGCTACTTGGATGACTGAGGCGGAAAGATCGCTGGTGTGCAACAGGTTGACGCTGGGGTGGCCGTGAGTGTACAACTGCACTCCAGCCTGGGTGACAGAGTAAGACTCCAACTCAAAAAAAATTATACTTACAGCATGAGCGCTGGGTCCTGGAACTGGTCCCAACCACAGCCCAGAGAAGGCTCAGGAACTGGAGGGCAAACCAGGCCATCTCCTCTCCTGTCCTGTCCAGTCTCCTCATCCACAGCTCCCAGGATTTGCAGGTGGAATATTTCTCTACCTTCTCTTAAACATGCTCCCTTTTGTAAGAAAGCCTGCACCCCGACCCAGCCACTCCTGACTACCTGCACTGACCTCTCCTTCCCTGATACAACTAATTTCCATTTGCTTATCTAAGTTTACTTACTATAGACCCTAGTGACTTCTAGGCAGTGCAGTCAGGTAAGAAACTTGGGACTGGGTACGCAGCAAAGACAGTGATGAGAAAGTGTCCTTTACCAAAATCTTGGGTCATTACACTGTGAAATCTGGCAAAAGTGCCAGTATCAACAAGATTTCTAGGCCTTATTTATTTATTGGTAGGGTCTCACTAAGTCACCCAGGCTGAAATGTAGTGGCACATCATGGCTCACTGCAGCCTCAACCTCTCATGCTCAGGTGATCCTTCCACCTCAGCCTCCCAAGTAGCTGAGACTATAGGTACATGCCACCATGCACAACTAATTTTTTGATGTTTTGTAGAGATGAGGTCTTGCTGTGTTGCCCAGGCTGGTCTTGACCTCTCGGGTTCAAGCAATCCTCCCTCCCAGACCATCCTATATAAGACATCCTCACCTCTATCAACACCCACCATGGCCTTTGCCTGCTATAACTCATCATCTCCTGTCACACTGTGTGTGGTTGTCTTTTTTGTCTCCTTCCCCACTAGAATGTTCACTGCAATGGAGCAGGACTTTATTCTTCCCACTGCTCTGTTCACTTATAACACTACTTAGCTCACACTAGGAATAAAATAAACATTTTTTGAATGAATAAATGAATGAGCAAATATAAGACATGGGTTATAAAGAACTTTCTTTTTCCTCAGGAGACCACAGTGGCTTTGTGAGGTGAGAGCACAAGGTACACATTGTGATGTGCTGAACAGCTTCTAACATGGCTCCATGTTCCTATCTCCCAATATTTATGCCCTGTGTAGTCCCCTTGCCCAGAATGTGGGCTGGCCTCACCTTTTTTTGGTGTGTGTGTATGTGTGTGTGTTGGGGTCTCATTCTGTTGCCCAGGCTGGAGTGCAGTGGCACGATCACAGCTCACTGCACCTTCAAACTCCCAGGCTCAGGTGCTCCTTCTGCCTTGGCCTCCTGAGAAGCTGGGACTATAGGCATGCACCACCACACTCAGCTAATTTTTGAGTTTTTGTAGAGACGAAGTCTCGCTATGTTGTCTAGGCTGGTCTCCATCTCTAGGCTCAAGCAGTCCTCCTGCCTTGGCCTCCCAAAGTGCTGGGATTATAGGCATTGAGCCACCGCACCCAGCCTGGCCTGCAGCAAGAGTAATGGAATGAGATTACAAAAGACTGATTTTCTTCTTGCTTGTATTCTCTCTCTGGGTCTTTTTGCTTCTTCCTTGGATGAATTCAGCTGCCAAGTGTGAGCTTCCTTGTGGAGAAGCCTGTGCACGTCCCCTGAGTGCAACCACCAGCCAATCTCTAGGGAGAAAGGAATCCCTCCAACAACCATGTGAGCAAGGTGGGAGGCAGATCCTTCCCCAGTCCAGTTCTGAGATGAAGACGGCCCCAGATGCCATTTTGACTTCAGACTCCTGAGAAGCCCTAACCCAGAGGACCCAGTTAAGCCCTCCCTGGACACCTGACCCACCCAAACTGTGGGCGAATAAATGTTGTTTGAAGCCACTCAGTTTTAGGGTAACTTGTGATGCAGCAATATATACGTCCAATACATGGTATATGGTGGGAAAGACAGTTTGGGTCTACGTGGTGAAGAACCTTGTCACCGTGTGAAGGAGTAGCAGACAGAATAATGCCACCCCCTGACCCCAGCCAGATGTCCATATCCTAATCCCTGGAACTTGTGAATATGTTAGGTAGTTTATAGGACAAGGGGTTATTCAAGTTGTGCATGGAATGAGCATAGCTGATGAGCTCATTTTTTTGTTGTTGTTATGTCAAATAATTACAAATGTATTGCAAAAATAATGAAAAACTAAATGTTTTTAACAGAATGTTTAAATGTTAGTTTTATTTAAGTTGACATTAATTAGAGAGAATCTACTATACTTTTTAATTTTTTATTTTAATTTTAATTTTTTTACTTCAAGTTGATACTTTTTTTATTTTTAATTTTAAAGATGTGGGGTACAATTCAGTGTCAGGTATATGAATATTTGTTATGCAAGCACCCTTGTTGATGAGGTGTGCCCACCCCTGGCAGTTTCCTACTATTGCCAATCCCACCTCAACTCCCCTGGCAGTTTCCCACTACTGTTAATCCCTTTCTTATACTATTATGATAATTATTCAAGATCCACTTATGAGTGAGAACATGTGGTACTACTCAGTTTTCTGTTTCTGTGATAGATCACTGAGTATTATAGACTCTGAATCCATCCAAGTTGCTGCGGAGTCCATATGTTTGTCCTTCTTTATGGCCTCATAATATTCCATTGTATATATGTGTCACATTTTTTTAAATCCAGTCCAGTTTCAATGGGCAGAACGGTTGGTTGGTTCCATGTTTTTTGATGAGCTCATTTTAAAGAGGAAGATTAGCTAGGGTTATCTGGCTGGGCCCAATGTAATTACAGAAGAGGGAGGCAGGAGTGTTAGAGTCAGAGGAGCAGATATGATGTCGGGGGCAGAGGTCAGAATGATGCAATTGCTGGCTTTGGAGATGAAAGGGGCCACGAGCCAGGTAATGCAAGCAGCCCCAGAAGCTGGAAAAGACAAAGAAGTGAATTCTTCCCTCGAACTTCTAGAAGGAACACAGCCCTTTCAGGACATTGATTTTTAGCCCAGTGACTTCTGACTTCCTGAACATAGCAAGATAATACCTTTGTCTTATTATATGTTACAAAAACTGTGACAGCTTGTTACAGCAATAATGAGAACCTAATGTGGGATTAAGAGTCCAGCATGGGGGTCCAGATCCTGCTCCTGGCCATCCTGATCCACAAGCCCTTGACATGTCAGCTCTTTTTTTTCTTTTTTTGTTGAGTTGGAGTCCATCACCCAGGCTGGAGTGCAGTGGCACGCTCACTGCCACAACAGCCTTGACCTGCTGGTCTCAGACGATCCTGCCACCTCAGCCTTCCAAGTAGCTGGAACTACAGGCACACACCACCACGTCTGGCTAACTTTTTGATGTATTGTAGAGATGAAGTCTCACCAAGTTACCCAGGCTGGTCTTGAACCCATGGGCTCAAGCTATCCTCTCACCTCGGCCTCCCAAAGTGCTGGGATTATAGGCGTGAGCCACTGTGCCCAGCAGGCATGTTAGCTCTTTAAATGTGGTGCACTTCCTTACCACTCACAACCGTGGCTGCACAAGACTGATTATGACACAATTGTTGCAGTGGGCAGTTAATTGCCAGAACAGGAACCACACAGGCTATACATTTCTTAACCATATGTTTTGAAAGTCCTTGATTCACTATTGACTGGGCTTACATCTTTATTGGCTTGTTTCTCCTGTGCCTAATTTTCTGGTGTCAAAGCACCCAGCCTCTCTCTGGACATCAGTAAGGTTCATTTGTGGTGATTACTCTTTGCTGTGGCAACAGATGGAAGTTTCTCTCCTTAGGCTCAGTCCAGGTTCCATAGCAGTCCTAAGCTTTAGGCGTTTCTTGTAAGGCAAGCATGACCAGACCAAGTTTCACTGGCTAATGTGAGTGGAATGCCAAGGGTTATTTCATTAACTTTCGTGTCTAGCTCTGAGATAAAGGCATTTCTATCAGACAGTGATGTAACTATTTATTGAAGGACACCGGCTGGGAGAAATTTGGCTTTCTCTGTTAGACATGGGGGTTAGCATGGCTGAAGGATTTGTTAGAAAACATAGTGGCACAAAATGAGAACTGACGTTTGATCCAATGAGAAGAATGAAAGGATATCACTTCATCACGGATCACCACAGCCTCCACCCACTGGGCTCAGGTGATCTTTCTGCCTTAGCCTCCCAAGTAGCCAGGACTACAGGCACGTGCCACCACGCCTGGCTAACTTTTTTAAAAAATTGGAAATCCCTTTCTTCAAATATTTTCTTTTTTAAAGATCGGTCTTAGATCCACAGCAAAATTGATAGGAAGGTGCAGAGATATCTCATATACTCCCTGTTCCCATGCATGCCCAGCATCCACTTTTTCCAAAAATGTGGTATATTTGTTACAACTGATGAAACTACGTTGACATATTAAACCTGAATTGGAAAGGAAATAATTTTTTGATGTTGTGGCTCAATGCTATTTAATTCCATGTTAGCATATCAATTAGAATAATGTCTTATTCCACATTTAAGAAATTATGTGCTTTACTGGTATTGACAGAATATTATTGAAAGTGAGCTAGAACTGAGAGTCCTGGATCTCCAAGGTGCCTATTCCAACCTTCTTATATTGAGACTCAATTTCATTGGTCAGTTTCAGGGTCATTGCTTTCTGTCATTTGGACATACAGTCATACATCGCATAATGATATTTCGGTCAACAACACTGCATATACGATGGTGGCCCTATAAGATTCTAATACTTATATTCAGATTCACAAATACTTGTGTTTACATATATAAATTTTTTAAAAGGGAAATAAATCTAAGTGTGATTTCTTAAAGATAGCGGTTTTCTTTCAGTGAATGGGAGTGTTGTGTGACAATTGCCTACAGTATTCAGTATGGTAACAGGTTTGTAGCCAGAAGCAGTAGGCTGTACTCTACAGGCTAGGTGTGTAGAAGACTGTGCCAATTAGGTTTATGTAAGTGCATTCTATGATGGTGACACAATGACAAAGTCACTCAGCAATGAATTTTTCAGAACATTTTCCTGTTGTTAAGCTATGTGTGATAGTCTTTGTGTTTATACTTTTTGCTTGAGCTTTCTTATTTTCTCTCTCTTTTTTTTAGGTTTTATTTGTTGAGTCAGGGTCTCACTCTGTCACCCAGGCTGGAATGTAGTGGCACGATCATGGCACATCACAGCCTTGACATCCTGGACTCGGGTGATCCTCTTGCCTTATCCTCCAGCCTTAACCTGCTGAGTAGCTGAGACTACAGGCATGAACCACCATGTCTGGCTAATTTTTAAATTTTTTTGTAGAGATGGGGTCTTGCTATGTTGCTTATGCTGGTCTCAAGCACCAGGGCTTAAGCAATCCTCCCACGATGGCCTCCTAAGGTGCTAGGATTACAGGTGCAGGCCACTGTGCCTTGCCCATTTTCTCTTATTGACAAAGCCAGCCATGTTTTCCCAGAATAGTCCCAGTTTTTAATACTTTTTCTTCTTTAAAAATTAATATTCAAGGGTACTTACACAATGAACATTTGTATTTCTAAGATGTACCCCACATCTTAAAAAAAAAAAAACTCAGAAGAAAAGTTTTAAAAAAGTAATATTTTTGGCCAGGTGTGGTGGCTTAAGCCTGTAATCCCAGGAATTTGGGAGACTGAAGTGAGAGAATTGCTTGATCCAGGAGTTTGAGACCAGTCTGGGCATCATAGTGAGACGTCATCTCTATAAAAAAAATTAATATATTTGATAGATAAGAATTGTATATATTTATGAAGTACAATATGTTGTTGGTGGGGTGGGAAGAGAGACATTGGTTACAGTGTACAAAATATTAGGAGGAATAAGTTTGTGAGATCTACTGTTAAACCAGGGGGACTATAGTTAACAGTAATGTATATTTTGAAATTGCTAAGAGATCAAATTTCTAATGTCTCCTCACAAAAAAATGATAAGTAAGTGAGGAATTGTTGATTAGCTTGATTTGGTCATTCCACAATGTCTAACTCATGGACGTAATTTTTTTTGGAGTGTAATTATTAACTGCTTGCTTTCACTTTTAACTGATTGGATGATACACTTTATGATCATGCTATTTATGAACAGTAAGGCACATTCTAACATTCTGCACATTTGTTACCTTAAGCCATTATTCTTCAATTCCACAGACTGCATAGTCCACAAACAGATCCTAGCACTGCCCCCTTGTGCTGACAGCACCAGGGACCCTGGAAGGTTAACATGCCTCCCTACATCCAAATGAGACACAGACCCAAGGGATAGAATCCGTTTCTGTTCAATCATGAGGGAATCTGTCACACCCAGTTAATGAAGGCCAGTGCAGAGTTGAACCTGAGCCTTGAGGATCAATACCAGAAAGAAATATGTAGAAAAAGGTTCAATCTTTGACTGTGAAGCAGGGTCACTGGTGGAGTGGAGGAAGCTAAGATTATTATGAAGAAAACACAATGAATAGACTCATTGTGGTGGCTCACATCTGTAACCCCAGCACTTTGGGAGGCTAAGGCAGGAGGATAATGTGAACCCAGGAGTTGAGACCAACCTGGACAACATAGTGAGATCTCCTCTCTACAAAAATCTAGCCTTTATAGTGGTGTACGCCTGTAGTCACAGCTACTCATGGGGAAGCTGAGGTGGGAGCATTCCTTGGGTTAGGAGTTTGAGGCTGTGGTGAGCCGTGATCGTGCCACTACACTCCAGCCTGGGTGACGGAGTGAGATCCTGACTCAAAAACAGAAAACAAATAACAACAACAACAACAACAAACAAATACAAGGAGTAATGAAGAAGACATTGTTAAAATAATTTAATTAATTCTACATAAATGCATTATTTTGTGCTTAATCCGGAGCACCATTGGTCCTCTTGTGTATGAAAGGTACTTCTGATATCTGGCCACATCTACATGTAGCTTGGGTACTCAGTATAAATGTATCCAGCTCATGCTGCCTGAACATGATTCAATTTGTGTTCTTTAAAATGTGAATTCTATGGAAATGAATATTGGAGGTGATTTTTTTTTTTTTTTTGCATGCATGCATGCATGATTGCCACAGGAATGCCAGGGTGATTTTATGGAGAGATTAAAAGAAAATAAACATGGGAGAGTGCATGGGATCCAAGGTTGTCAGTTGGAGGCAGGGGTAGCGTTGTTTCTCAAACCATGGCCTGACCTCTTATGTATAAGCTTCACATTTCCCTCCCCCTTTCTTCTGTTTCTCTTGATCCTATGTGAAGTCAGTAGGATCACTGGGTTCCTCGCTTGTGTCTTGGCCTCAGAGGGCTCAGTCTCCCGACAAACTTTCTGCTTGATCTCATTAGTTGCTGTTGCAACTTTAGACCTAAAACTTTATCTCTGTTTTTCCCAGGTACCCAAGGTCAACCAGATAGTTTGTGGAGGAGTGGTGACCTTGAGTAGAACCCTGCTTATTATACATGTGGCCTAATCTCTTCATCCTCTCTTCCTTTTTTTTGAGGTGTTCTTCCTTCTAATAACTGTTAAAATTCTTCAAAAAATGAACTAATTAGTCGTTAGTCTTTTATTGAACATGCAGAGGAGGAAGGGGAGGTTCTTGACTTTCCTACTGAGATTGGAATAAATGGAAAGGAAGGAGCATGAGCCCGATTTCTGCATGGAATTCCATTGTAAAAGGATTCTATCTGGCTGACAAAGTTTTGGACGTGTTAGTATTTGCTCCAACGAACCTCCAAGTTGTCTCCATTATGAACAACATAATTATCAGCTCCTGAAAAGGAAGAAACAACAGAACAGGGTCAAATGATTTGGCCACTAAATCACCAAATACAGTAAGTGCCCTACCTATGAACCTTCAGGTTAAAAACTTTAATGATGCACACTTGCATCTTTAAATGTATTATTCTCTGCACCAGGTCTCAATACAGTCCAATATAGTACTCAACACATATAGTACTATATAGATAATTGTGTTAGTTGGGTACCTAGGCTAACTTTGTTGGACTTACAACAAATTGAACTTACAAACGCACTCTTGGAGCCAAACATGTGTATTTGTTGGGGACTTCCTGTAATGAATGTCATCTCTCCCAACCCCTTGGACCATTTCCCACAGACCCAAGCCCTCGTACCTGAACACTTTGGGCACTTTCACTCTGTCAGTCTTTTTGGCATGTCTCTCCCTTACCTTGGCTCAGTGGTTTTCCATCACTCAGAAGTTCCCAATAGGTTCTTTCATTATTGTTGGCCCAGAGGCCCTGAACAGAGGTGATGTAGGGTCCCCATGAGCTCTCTTCCATTGTGAAACTGTGGAGGACAGTGACTGGGTCACAGGAACTTAGAGTTTTCAAAGGAAACCCTGGATAAGCATTACTCAAACTTTAATACCCAAGAATCACCTGATAATGTTACCAAGAATGCAAATTTCCCAGCACTATTCTTAGATACTTTGAGACATGGGCTGGAGGCCAGAAATCTGCATGTTGTGCAAGCACTCCTGGTGATTCCAACACAGGCACTCCACACTCCACACTCCACGGTGAATTAGAGAAATGATGTCCATGGTTTCTGCCCCCACTCCTGCCATAGTAGACCCTTTGTGGTCAATGACTTTAATTTTCCAGCCCAAGATTGTAACTGTTGGAGATATACAGTAGAAGAAAGTGTTTAACCTCATGTCCTAAAGGCATCATAGGTAAATGAGTTTTCTTTTAGGAAAGAGGAACAGGAAAAAATAATTTGATATTTCATGTTGTATTTATTAAAAAGGACATGGTCAGGCCAGGCGTGGTGGCTCAGTCTGTAATTCCAGCATTTTGGGAGGCAGAGGCGAGAGGATTGCCTGAGCCCAGGGGTTCGAGACCAGCCTAGGCAACTCGGTGAGACCTCATCTCTACAATAAATGAAAAAATTAGCTGGGTGTGGTAGTGCTCACTTGTGGGTCCAGCTACTGGGAAGGCTGAGGTGGAAGGATTTCCTGAGCCCAGCAGGTTGGGGCTGGAGTGGCCGTGAGCATGACACTGCACTTTAACCTGGGCAATGGAGTGAGACTCCAACTTGGAAAATAAAAGTGACATGGTCAATGTCTGTTTCATATTCCTTAGTCATGTTTTTCTACCTTCCTGGAAGCCCTTGAAGGCAAAGGACTTTATTTATACACACACACAATATAAAATCAGAATAATCATATGTCATATATAATATATATTACATAATATGTATTGTAAATATATATAATGTAAATATATATTATATATGTCGTATATATTATATGACATATAGGTTATAATTCTGATTTTCTCTGTAGTATCCTACACCATGTTGTTAGACACAGTAAGTACCAACTAGATTTAAGGAGTCGAATAAGTCACTGTTTTCAGAGACAAAGTCTAATATTTAATTCTAATATTTGACCTTCTAGGCCAGGGAATCTTCATTTAAGCATCCAGGAATTTCCTAAAATGTGGGGGCATGGAGAGGCTTCAGGGTGTCTGTGAAATTCCCAATTTAAATACCAAATTTTGTGTGTATGCTATTTTTTTCTGAAATAAAATATTAATTACATTCATCTGGTTTTCAAAGGGGTGAGAGATTCAAAAATAGGTAAGAGCCACTGTTCTAGTCCTAAAATGTCTGAATTAAGAGGGTCTATCTATTTTTTTTTTTTTTTTTGAGTTGGAGTCTCACTCTGTCACCCAGACTGGAGTGCAGTGGCCACTCCCGGCCACTTCAGCCTCTACCTGCTGGGCTCCGGCGATCCTTCCGCCTCAGCCTTCCAAGTAGCTGGAATTACAGGCGCGCGCTACCACACCCGGCTGATTTTTTTATTTTTTGTAGAGATGAGGTCTTGCCAAGTTGCCCAGGCGGGTCTCGAATCCAAGGGCTCAGGCAATCCACTCACCTCAGCCTCCCAAAGCACGGGATTACAGCCCAGCAAGGGGGGGTCTATTTATTGAAGGGGTTTTGCAGAAATAAGAGCAAACCTTGAGATTCATTCATCCATTAAGTTTACATTACTACCTATTATGTACTGGGAGATTAACTATCTCATCTCCATGTTAAGACTTGTGCTGTGAGATGTGGATGGGTAGCAAAGATGCTGACCCAGAAGTGTTTTAAATGTACTTTATGTTACTCGTAAACAAATCTTGAACAATTATCATAATTGTATAAGAAAAGGATTGGCAGTAGTGGGAAACTGCTGGTGGTGGGGGGTGGGATTGCCAGTAGTGGGAATCTGCCAGGGGCGGGGGGGCACACTTCATCTGCAAGGGTACCTGCATAGTGAACATTTGTCTTCCTAACTCTGAATTGTACCCCACATCTTTAAAATAAAAAATTAAATAAAAAAAATTTTTTTTGAGTCGGCGTCTCGTTCTTTCACCCAGGCTGGAGTGCAGTGTGGCATGATCATGACTCGACCTCTTGGGCTCAGGTGATCCTTTCACCTTAGCCTCCTGAGTAGCTGCGACTACAGGCACGTGCCACAACACTCAGCTAATTTTTAAAATTTTTGTAGAGTCGAGGTCTCACTGTGTTGCCCAGACTGGCCTCGAACACCTGGGTTCAAGCTATCTTCCTGCCTCGGCCTCCCAACATGTTGGGATTTCAGGTGCAATCTACTGTGCCCAGCTTAAATGTAATTTCTATCCAGAGGTATTCTTACTGGACTCTTTAGAAATGGCAGAAAACACCTCAGCCTTGAGTTAGGTACAGACATACCCAAATATAGTCTTATTCATTTTCTGAGCTTCCTTCATCACATCTAGGAAAACAGCGCCATTTGACACATTAACATTGATAGAATATGTTTCACTGATCCTCACAGAGTAATTGACGGAGATATATGACAGCGAGACTGGAGGTGTCATGGTTATAGGCTCATGAATGGAGACATTGAAGATACCTGGCACAGAAAGAAAAGCCGTGAGCAATATTCAGAATATTAAAAATGATGTTAGAGTTTGCATGCCCATTCGACCCCATCCAAAGATTCATTGCCTTTATGCAGGGATAGATTTGCTACAAGGAGCAAGTACCAACCAATCAAGGGGCAGATCTCTCACATAACTGAAGCAGAAACTGAAACTAGAAACTCAGAAGCTGTGAATGTTGGTTCAGCTCCCAACTGTTTAAGCATTCAGTCGCCTCAATTCCCATCTCTCACAGAGGAGCCTAATTTTTTTCCTTTGATACAGCACACTATCATACTTGCCTTTCCCCCACTTTTTGTTTCATATTCAAATATAAAAACATATTGAGTGCCAGGCACTGTCCTAATCATTTTACAAGGATTATCTCATTCAATCCTTACAAACCCCTGTGTTAGATATTGTCATCATTGCCATTTTTTACATTAGAAGACTGAAGCTTAGAGGTCAAACATTTTGTCCAAGTTTCCCATATCTGTAAATGGTGGAACCGGAAATGACCAAAGATAGAAAGAAATGGCTCTTTTCTTTCCACCTTGTTACAAAATCATTTGTTAGAATAAATGTCTCATCCTATGATTTTCTTAGAATACTGCCATATTCCTTCCACACAGATGCTTTATTTCCCTGAGGGATCATTCACTGTGGATAATGGAAAGTCAGAATAATGATACTGATCCTCCATACTTTGTGTTTTCTTTTTTACATTTAAAAAAAAAATAGAAATAGGATCTCACTATGTTGCCCAGACTGATCTCAAACTCCTGGTCTCAAGCAATCCTCCTGCCTTGGCCTTCCAACGTGCTGGGATTACAGGAGTGAGCCACTGCATCCAGCCAAATCCTCTATACTTTGTTTAGGAGGAGAATGATGCTCAGATTTCTCTATATCCAACAATCAGAAAATATCCCTTTGAAGATGAGGCATTATCGAATCAAGTCTACCTTGTTTATCAATATTTGAACCAAAACTGACATCTAGTACTCAGGTAAGAACAAGTCCTCCAGTGTCTGTAATCCCTGATATATAATGAGAACTGAATTCTATCTGGGAGCTGTTATGCTTTAGAGGTTTATCTGGTCACTTTTTGTCCCCAAGGACGCCTCAGTCTCATATGCTTTGAGTGTTGTGCTGGAAGGCAAAACTGTTTGCTCTTTAGTGCTTATACCTGAACCAGAGACACAAGCAGAGTTGTTGTTAATATCCAAGTAGGTCTTTCCCACCAACGCAGGTAAAACCTGGGCTGCAGCAATTGGAATACTGAATACTCCTTGGGAAATTTCCTCGAGCACTGTGTCCAGAGTTTTTTCACAATCCCATTCATTTTCATTGTAATAGTCTGATGACACAAAAAGGGCCTGTTGGGGGTGGGGGGAGTGGGAGGAGGGAGAATGTGAGATACTTCAAAGAAGGGGGAAGCTACAATATTTATTGAACATTTAATTGCATAGGAAGCACCTTGTATAATTCAGGTATATTTTTCCTGCCGTTGAACAGCATATGAACTAGTTTGGATGGGAGGTGGAAACTGCTTAATAACACAAGCTATAATAGCCCCATGATAGCTTTCTCTGTCATATTCAGACACCGGGAAATACCTGTCATTCAAGAGGCACTCAAGAAATATTGTTCACAGACAAACTATTGTAAAAGGAGCCCTCAGATGAATACCTTAAGAGAAACACCTAGTAGCATACCTTGCAAAAGAGAACCCTCACAAACATTTAGTGAGGCAAAGGAGAGACTTCTGGAGAAGGTGGTATTTGAGGTAGGCCTTGGACAGTATCATAGAATTTTGGTAGCTGAAATGAGAAAGGGGCTCTCTACTCAGAAGGAACAACATGAATAAAAGTTTAAGGCAGGAAAGGTCAGGACACGGCCTGGCAGTAGAGAGAGTATCTGCACTTTAGCAAAATTTCTCAGAGGATTCCTCCTGGTCTCAGAGACCTGGTGTATGGGAAGCATTGTGGGCAATTGTGGAAGAACAGGCTGGAGAAGGAAACTGGGCAGATGGGTAGACACTTGAGTTTCGAGGTGAGGTGTCTGACATCATTTGATTAACAATGGGGAGTTTAATAGTTTGTTGAACAGAAACTATTCAGGCAGCAGAATGTAACCTCGATTAAAGGGGCAAGACTGTGAGGTAGTATAAGTTAGGAGGGTATTAGCATGAGCAAGCAAAGAACTAAAGTGGCCTGAACCTGAACATGATGTTCTGAGGTTTCCCTGGAATAGACATTCTCTCTTTTCATCTTTTTTGGGGGAGGCTTTTAAAGTTAACCCATGAGTTAATACGCATTTGTGAGATACAAAGATCATTAAAAAAAAAAAGAAAAAGACTGATCATATTATATGTCCTCTTAAGAACTGTCTTATAGAAAAAAAAATAGTCTCATTAAAAGTGGGCAAATGACACAAACAGACATTTCTTAAAAGAAGATATACAAATAAATGGTCAACAAACATGAAAAAAAGCTCAACATCATTAGTCATCAGGGAAAAGCAAATTAAAACCACAATGAGATACCATATGATTCCAATCAGAATGGCCACTATTAAAAAGTCTAAAAACAATCCATATTGGTGTAGATGTGGTGAAAAGGGAATGCTTATACACTGTGGGTGGGAGTGTAAATTAGTATAGTCTCTATGGAAAGCAGTATGGAGGTTTCTCAAAGAACTAAAAGGAGATTTATTCAATCCAGCAATCCCAGTAATGAGTATCTACCCAAAGGAAAAGAAGTCATTGTGTAAAGACGTCTGCACTCATATGTTTATCATAGCACAATTCACAATTGCAAACACGTGGAATCAATCTAAGTGCCCATCAACTGATCCACAGATTTAAAAAAATGTGATATCCAAGGATCCTATGCTAGCCATGCTGAACACCTTGATTTATAAAAAATACAGTAAGTCCCCTACATACAAACCTTCAAGTTGCAAACTTTCAAAGATGCAAACGTGTGTCCGCGTGTCCAGTCACATAAGTTAGTTCATGTATCTGGAATACATTGTCACGTGCATGCGTCCTCTACAAGTGGTTGTGTTTTTGTGTATGTGCACACACACACATGCATACACACAAAAAGCCATGGAATACTATTCATCCATTAAAAGAACAAAATAATGTCTTTTGCAGTGACATAGCTGGAATTGGAGACCATTATCCTAAGTAAAGTAATTCAGGAACAGTAAACCAAATGCCTCATGTTCTCACCTGTAAGTTGGAGGTAAGATATGGGTCTGCACAGATATATAGACTGATGTAATGGACACTGCAGACTCAGAAGGGGGAGATGGGGGGAGTGGAAGATGGAAAGTATCTATCAGATACAATGTACACTGTTGGGTGACAGGTAACACTTAAAGCCCAGAATTCTTCACCACTATACAATTCATCCATGTAACTAAAAACCACCTGGACACCTAAGCCTACTGGAAAAACAATAACAACAAAAATATTTTTTCAAAAGAACTGTCTTGTAGGCAAATAAGTCTTGATCCTGCTGTGAATTTTTATCACCTATAGGGCTTTTAAACAAAAGTGAGCCCATGTTTCACCTGTAAATTTCTCTATTAATTGGCTGTTATGTGGCCTAGATGTTAGTGTGTCCTAAAAGCTCCTTCAGGTGATTCAAATGTGCAGCCAAAACGGGAAACCACTGTTAGATATTCATTTCAAACTCAGCAAGGCAAATAACAACAAAACAGTAACAACAATACAAACAACCTTATGATTAGATTCCTGCTTACTTCACCAGCCTCATCTTGTAATGTTTACCAAGGATCCTATCCTGGCATGCTGAACACCTTGATCTTTTAAAAATACAGTAAGTCTCCTACATACGAACATTTAAGATGCGAACTTTCAAAGATGTGAACGTGCATTCGCATGTCCAATCACGTAAGTTAATTCATGTGTCTGGTGTACGTTGTCACATGCAAGCATCCTCTACAAGTGGTTGTGCTTTTGTGTACTTTACTGTACAGTACTGTATACAGTCATACAGTATCTTTTTTCAAACCCAGGATGTCTTGAGCAAGCATAAAAACAGCAGTAATATACTATATAGCTGATTGTGTTAGTTGGGTACCTAGGCTAACTTTGTTGGACTTAGGAATAAATTAGACTTAACAAATGTGCTCTCAGAATGAAACTCATTTGTATGTAGGGGACTTACTATACGCAGTTTGTGTGTGTGTGCGCTCACACATGCGTGCCTTTGGGTCTTTATTTTTGCTACCGTCTCTCCCCTGAAAGTTCTCTCACCCTAAGTCAGCCAGGCAAACCTCTATTCATACCAATGACTCAATGGATTTTCCCTGTGAACCTTCCTTGATCTCTTTCTGTATCCACTGCTTAGAGTTGTATAAATCAGTGAATGAAGGCAGGAATAAAGTCCCGGACTCCAAGGGATGTATGCCTGACAGTGCAGGTGCTCAGTGTGAGTTTTGAGTGCAGTTGCCTAGATCCCATCTGTCTGCACCACTTTCTGGTTTTGTAATATCAGCCAAGTTACTGGTACAGCCACTGCGATTCATGTTCCTAGTCTAGGAAATGGAGGTAATATAGGAGTCCCCCTTGTTTGTGGGGCATATGTTTTGGGACCCCTAAAGGCTGCCTGAAACTGTGGAACCTTACATATACTATGTTTTTTTCCTAGACCTACATCCTATGATAGAGTTTAATTTAGTAAATTAGGCACAGTAAGAGATTAACAGCAACAACAATAAAATATAATAATTATAATAATATACCACAGTACCACTACTCTTGTGCTTTGGGGCCATTATTCAGTAAAAGAAGTGTGACTTGGACACAAGCATTTGGACACTTTCATCTGATAACTGAGACAATCCAGCAAGTCACTGACAGGCAAGTAGCACAGGCAGCATAGACAAAGGGCTGACTCACTTCCTGGGCACAGTAGGGTGGGAAGGGCCAAGATTTCATCACACTACTCAGATTGATGCATAATTTAAAATGCATGAATTGCTGTGTTTTTTTTTGAGACGTTTCAACCCAGACTGGGGTTGATCTCAGGTAACTGAAACCATGGAAAGTGAAATCATGGATTACTGTATATGGTAAAGTGCAAAATTACATCTGATAAAACAACAAGATAGACTCTAGAATTTATTTTCTTTTTCTTTTTTTGAGTTGGGGTCTCACTCTGTCACCCAGGCTGGAGTGCAGTGGCATGATCACAAGGATCACAGCTCGGCTCACAGCAGTAGCAACCTCCTAGACTCAGGCAATCCTCCCACTTTAGCCTCCCGAATAGCTGGGACTACAGACATGTACCAAAACAGCTGGCGATTTTTTTTTGAGTTGGAGACTCACTCCTTCGCCTAGGCTGGAGTGACATGCTCATGGCCACCATTGCATCAACCTGCTGGGCTCCAGCGATCCTTCCACCTCAGCCTTCCAAGTAGCCAGAACTACAGGTGCATGCTACCATTCCCAGCTACTTTTTTGATTTTTTTGTAGAAACGAGGTCTCACCATATTGCCCAGTCAGGTCTCGAACCTACAGGCTCAGGCAATCCTCTTGCCTTGGCCTCCCAAAGTGCTGGGAATACAGGCTTGAGCCACCATGCCCAGCCTTAAATTTTTTTATAGTGAGATGAGGTTTCACTATGTTGCCCAGGCTGATCTCGAACTCGTGGGCTCAAGCAATTCTCCTGCCTCAGTCTCCCAAAGTACCAGGATTATAGGTGTGAGCCACTGCACCCAGCCTAGAATTTCTTGAAGAGATCATAATTAGGAAAAGCTTTATAGAAGCATTGGGTATGGAGAGGTAAAGGGTGAAGGTGAGAAGATACATTTCAGGCAGGAGGAGGAATCACATGAGCAAAGTTAGTCAGTAAAGGAAACACAGAATGGGTAATAAGATCTTAGGAGGTCCATAAGAGAGGCAAAAGATATAGCTTTTCTCCATGACTCCCTTCTCTGCCTCCTGTTTTACCCTCTCTGACTTACCTGCATGGCTTCTCCTGTACTAAATGAGTTTCCAATGAGACCATTTTTTTTCTCAGACAGAATCATTTTTACGAGTGAACTTGTATTGTTACCAATCTTCTCTAGATCTCCTTTGTCTGCTTTGATCTGCCCACTTATTAGATTCCTCGTCACACAGGTCAGAGCCAGGACAGCCACTGCAGCAGTATCTGTCCAGAAACAAAGCATTATTGATAGCGTGACCAGCATCCTACTTTGTCCTGGGTCGAGGAGTTTTCTGAGATGAGAGATTTTCAGTGCTAACTGAGGAACAGATCTGGAAAAATTGGGATGCTTGTCATGCTAATTGACGAAGAAGGATTTCAAGGCACAGCAAGTATCCCTCTAGCACTAACCATCTGGCTACTTCAGGATTTCTTCCTTATGTTCAGTTGCCATGCACCCCCTACTTAATATCTCATACCTTAGGCATAAAAACACCTGTAGACTTACAAGCGTATGCCCATGGACCATCTTCTATTTTTACATCATGGTTGCTCTCATCTTTTCCATTTTTCTCCAGTTTTTCAGCCACATTGGCATAGGAATGGAGAAAACCCAGGATGATGCATCAGACCAACTATGTCTTTGTAAGGCTCTCAAGGGTTCCTGATTAGGAAACCGCACTTAGCAGAATTATTGCTCAGTAAATCTCCGTATGAGAGAAGATGAGGCAAGAGATTGGACTATGAGAAATCTCTCTCTCTCTCTCTCTCTCTCTCTCTCTCTCTCTCTCTCTCTTTCTCTCTCTCTGTCTCTCTCTTTTGGCTATCCAGAAATACGGAATGATGGTTTACTTTGAATTTCTTGTATCTGGATCCATGGGGGCTGAGCACCTATACTAGCTGTCTGGAGATTTCTTTTTAGATGTTAACACTGACACAGTGAAAAATTACTGGTTCTTTCCCAAGGAGAATGCATATTTTATTGATTAAAATATTGGACTTTGTCACTGGAGAGGTTGCAAGTCAACCCACATACACAAATTGTCCCAATAAATTAGAGAAAGAAGAAGTGTTAAGATAAATGAATTCCACTGCATTTCCTTTCTCTGAAACTTGAACTTCCTAAAAATGTTTTATATGCATATTTTCATGCTCTATTCTCATTTTCTAGATGGAAAAATTGAGATCATGAGTTAGTGTCTATTGGTTATATAACTCAAAGAAAAGCGGGGGTTGGAACCAGTCTTTCTATTATACCACAAGTCTAGAAAGAGGCTTGCAAACCACCTATTGTCCATTCTTCTCAAAAATAAAATTCTCTTTTGAGAGGACAAGGGTAAAGAGGATAGAAAATAAAATCCATATACTTACTGGTAGAAAACTTCAAAGAGCAAGACCTACTTGTGACCTTGTCCCCTGTACGAAGGGATTTGTGCTTAAGGACTCACCTACTGAGAACTGGCCACCTAAATAATAGGTTTTATTTTTAGGAGTAAAGAGATCAGCAACTTCGGTGGCTGAGTAACTCCCATTGAACAGACACAAGGCCAAAACGTCCAGGCCAAGCTGGTAGTAGTTCGTCAATGGGTTGCCATTGTGTGATCCTGACAGAAAGAAGAGAAAAAAATATCTATTTTACTCATGGAAATGGAGTATTCAGTTTTACTTTTTTGTTTTGTTTTGTTTTGAGTTGGAGTCTCACTCTGTCACCCAGACTGGAGTGCAGTGGCCGCTCTCGGCCACTGCAGCCTTGACCC